TTCCAGGCCCAGTATGTGTTGTTTCAGAAGTGCCTTTTCCTCCACCTGTTCTTCCTCTCGCTGCTGAGGCCCTACGAAGCTTAAAGACTGTAAATTCATCTTTACAGTGCCTACATTGGAAAAATGTGCCAATTCCTTTATTTGCCACCTGTTTTGCCAACAGAAGGAAGCTCACGTCTTTGAGCCTGGCGGTCAACTCTGCAGTAGCACTGACTGTGAGCGAGAACGTTTTTAGCTGTACGAACATTTATTGGATGCAGAGGACGGACATAAACATATTGGCTAAATTTCAGTTGGTGGAGACAAAAAATTTGTATTGATTTGTAGCTTGTTTGTTTGGAAAAAAAGGCATCTAGACATATGTTTTCTTAAAATTTACCTCCTTAGTGTAGGTTTAGAGAAAGTGGAAGAAGTAGAAGTAAATTTCTAAATTAAATATTCAAATAAATTTATAGTAGGCCTGTCACTATTTGCGACTTTGGTTGGATAATACTTTGTCCCAGAAATAATTGCGATAAACGATATTATTGTCATTTGAGACCATTTCATGCCACTTATATAAATAGCATAATAACACAAGTACGGTGTTTCAAAAAGAAACAAACATTTAATTCTTAATGATATTCAGACATTGAATTTAGGATATGAGTAAAATATTAGCATATTTTGTAAAAAAGTAATTAACACCTGGTAATATATACAAGAAAGTATATATAGAATTGTAATACCATTATTGGAGTAGTCCAGAATTACTCAGTTTTAGACTAAATTTGGCCAACAAAAACAAAACAAACGATTAGCGAAGCTCTGCAGGCACTTCGCAGTTATCTCCATAATCTGGGCCAGTGTGCTGCAGCCTGCTCCCGGGGATGGATGGCCTGCGAGCCAGGTGGTTTGCTTTTGGATTTCAGGAAATGGAGGATGAAGTTGTTGAATAGTAAAACCTCAAACGACGAAATGTTTTAGCATGTTGCCATGAGTTGCCAAGCAAACGACTATCAGGACTGTGCATGTTTTTCTCCAAAAGTGCAGCTGCAGGCTAGTGGTAAGCTACACTGTGTCATCTTTTAAGTGTTTTATTTTTCTTCAAGCATGCGGCAGTAAGGAGACAAAAAAAAAGGCGAAACCCTGCTGTTTATTCTGGCATCATGTTATGTAAACAAACATGCATGTAAACACAGGTGATATGTCCAATGTCCATATATCGTAGGATAAGTTGACAACGTAATTATAGTGACAGGCCTAATTTATATAATTGACTAATAAACACTACATAAAATGATATGTCTTGACGCCACATTTGTTGGCTGCTTTTAGCAGGATTTAGCTTAGCATATTTTAAGCGGAATTCCTGAGCTGGATTTTTCAACTTGAATATGAAAACCATTTTCCTTTCACCTAAAATGTATTGTTAGGTTGTCTATATTGGCGGCTGGCATCAGCCAAGCTGGGCTAATTTAGCCTGAGCTAAGCTAAGCTCAGATAATGAAGGAAATGGAGGAAAAAAAGTTGCTAACTAGCATTTTGAAAAGGTGTTTTTAGCAGTCCACATTTGCTGAAACTCAACCAATATGTTTAGGTCTGCTCCATTTTATCAGTCGGCGAGTTTTGCCCTTTTAAAACAAATTAAGTCAATTAGTGGTTTGGTTTTAATTGTGTTTTTTGGGGGGATTAGCTATCAACAATTACTTATTAATAAAATGAGCTCTAGATTGTTTGAGATACTCCTGCATTTCTACTCTTTTTGACAGATTTTTGATTAAATCATTTAATGTGAAAACAATCTAGTGGTCAGTCCACTAAGGGTTAATGTGAGGACAATCTTCAAAACGCTCCTCGCAGAGCTTATTTTTTGTCAAAGATAATTGAAGATGAGCCTGCTGTCAGTTATCACAATCTCGGTGCCAGCGATATGGAGAGCTGCTGAGTGTGCCAGCTTGTTCTTCAGCTTACTCTTTAACACCACACATTCAGCACATATGAATGTGAGGATTATTTATCTCTGCTCTGCCTTTGTAGCGACATTGCCTGCCGGGCATTTTGTGTTTACATCTTGTGCCAAACTTTGCTTTCACCTCAGCATCAAGAGTCTGCTCATGACGCTTTACTGGGCCCTGCAGTGCAGAGACAATGGTGGTTTGTTGTATCATAGAGAATGTGTTGGGTTGTATTTCTTTAAAAGTAATTCTGTTTAGCTTTTAGACAGACGTATTATGCATGGCACTTTTTACTGAATGTTTTGGAAAATATGGAAAAAATTTTATATCATGGTTGGAACTGGATGTCACAGTGGTTTAAAAAAGGGATGCGTCAGCCTTGTTTAATCTTGCCTTTCAACGGGAACAAGAACACATCAATACTTTAGGTGAAGGTAAACTATTATGCAAGATGGACGGATATGTTGGGTGCATGCATGTGTGACATGTGATATGTCGTCTGCCTGCCTAATTTCTGTTCAACCAGGGGAGCAAGTGTTTAATTTTAAAGAATTGTATGCCAAAATAATGTGTCACATTTTGGGGGGGGGGGGGACTTGAAAGTGTTTAGGTATGGAAGAAATACATGTAAAGTGTTATCATTTTCTTATCAAGCAAAGAGTTTCAAGTGTTACAAATACCCAAAATGTTTGTTCTGCCAATTATTTCTTGTCTTTCTGTAAATGTCAAGAGCTGATTTTGAAACATTTGAAAAAGTGACAGCCAAACCCTTAAATTTATACGATACTCCGACAATGCCAGCATTCATCTTTCAGTCTTTCAGTTTTAGCAGCGTAATGCTTATGTAACGTTATCTAATGTTTACAGTGGTAGCATTCTGGGTCCCTTTGGACCCATTTGTCATGCAATACATTGGTTTACTGTGTAGAGTCTCTGTAAAACTTCAATACACACTTTGAAAATAAACATTGGGATTTCATGAGTCTCTGAATTAATTATCAACTTATATTCTTATATTGGGGGGGGGGGTGTTTTTCTCAACTTGAACTCTGTTTTCTGATGTTTAATTGTGATCAATTGAGACAACAGTGTTTGAAAGTGGTCTAGTATTGAGTGTGAGGGCTGCAGACAGCAGCAGAGAAACAGACTGCAATGTAACGGTAATGGGCAAATGTGCACCTTCAATTTATGTCCAGTAAAAGTATTTGATTTTGCCACTGACAGGCTCAGATTATTATATTATAAGTGTCTGACAAAGTTATAGAAAGGATCCCTACAGAGATAGACCTTTTGGTTCAAAAGTAAGATCCTTTTTATTTAACCAGAAACAACCCCAAAATTGCTATCGCCAAACCCACCAGACTCCATTTTAATAAAAAGTAATTTTATCCCTGTAAATCACGCTTTATTCAAAGTCAATGGAAACAAAATAAAACTCGCATAAACAGTCTTGATTTCTCTTTCCACTGTTGCAACAATCACCAGCTCTGGTTTGGTTGAAATAAACCCTTAATTCACCCGGGTCCATGTCATTGGTTCGACAGCCCAATGGTTCGACATCCCATTAGTCAGACTGTCCGAGGTGCTGAACAGCTAGCAGCGGGCGTATGGTGAGCCGAGACCAGCTTGAGGCGGAGCAGGCTCACGGCTTATGAGTTTGTCACTTTCTTTTTCATTTTAACCCACACCATGATCTTTTTCTGACCCTAACCAAGTGGTTTTTGTGCCTAAACCTAACCAGACCTTAACCACACTGCATCATGATGATTTCAGAACGGACTTTGGAACAATGAGTTTAATATGGTCGGAACAATGGGATGTCGAACCAATGGGCAGTTCCCATTCACCCATTAAGATATGAAAATATGCTGATTCTATGCATGCTAAAATTACGGTTTCTTTTAATGGAGTCTGGTGAGGTTGGTGCAATTTCATGGCAGTTTCTGGTTAAACAAAAAAGGATCTTAACACTTAAACAAAAAGGTCTATCTCTGTAGGGATCCTTTCCATAATGTTGTCAGACACTTAAAATAACAATTTGAGCCTGTCAGTGGCAAAAAAAGCACTTTCAGTGGATGTAGATTTACAATGCACAAATGCCCCGAGTGTTTACACTGCAGCCTGTTTGGTATCAGCTTGCTGCAGGAATCTTGTTTAATATTGTACAAATTTGTTGTTCCCATTAGTCACTTATGTTGGGTTAAAACTACACAACATTTCTGTCTGTTCCAACAGTCACTTGTCAGATTAGGCGATTGTGGAGTCATAAAATCGTGCCGTGACTTGGCCGACAGACATGACACACTACACGATGGTCCACACCAATCATCCCTGGTCGTGTTTTACGACGTGTGTGATGTCGTCGGGTTATTCTTGTCCTATTTTTGTTATTGTTACTATTATTTCAGTCACTGTGTCTGTTCATGTGCCAGCCGAAATGTTTGAAATGATCGCGCGACGCATTAACTTCATCGAGGCAAACGGGAGCCTCTGCAGTTGTGGTAAGTAAATGTAAGTATTTACTGTTTTATTACTTAATATCCTCCTTTATGAAGAAATAACATTGTTTGCTAGCATGATGCTAATGGCAGTACTCACCGGGTTGCTAAAGGGCCTCTGCTGTTTCACACCATCATTTTACCTTTTTTTCGCTCTGTGTGGTAACATTGCTAGAGGAAATATCAAAAAGGCTGGGCTGTTGTCGTACAGTTGTCTACGGCAGCAGATTGCTCTGTGTTCCTATTCGTCAGTGGTACGGCGATAACGGGAGAAGTCGTAACCATCAAAAAGAAAATCAAACATACTAGACTTTATGTCGGAAAGTTGTGAGGCGTCCCAGATGTGGCACCAGTTGTCATCTGCTATGACACAAAGGATGACATGAAGCAATGGATTATTGCACATGACACGAGCCGACACCGCATGTCGCTGCGTCGGGCTATAATCGGGCTGATATCAGGCTGATATCGATATTATTTGTTTGGTTGTGATGAGTAGATCAGTTAAAATGATAAAAAAAGAGGTTCCCCTCCACACCCCGAAGAACGACACAAACAAACTTAATATAGTAATAAATAGTACCTTTAGTAACAACATTCATATTAAAAAAACAACCACAGTAAAATACATTAAGTCCACGAATGTACACATTTCAACAACATCATAATATTAAGATCTTTACAGCAAATTTTTTGCTCATTGTTAAGTTAAATTGCAGACATTTATACAAGCTGATCACATGTTTTAAGTTAGAACAAATACATCTCATTTAAAATGATACAAAAAAAAAGTTTTCGTCAGGTAGAGGAATGTAAGATGTCATAAGGTACAGTGACGTGAAAACAAACGATGTGTGCGTTCTGTATTTCTGTATATATATTCTGTATATATCTATGTGAGATTTCTGAAAGGACTTCTCTTTTAGCATCTTTTGACCTAAGACTAAAAACAGCCCGACTGCTCACCCAAATACTAAACTAAGTGGGCTTTTCTTAGGCAGAATAGCATTAAATATAAACCACTTTCAGTCTCCGTCATAGCTTCTGACTATCATGGCGTCTCTTAGGCGTAGTTGTTGTGCTCGATCCTGGTCACCATGGCGGAAACCAGCCGCTCCAGCTGCTCCGCTCGCTGCTTGCCCGTCTGAAGGACCTCCTCGTGATTGGCCTTTTCCTCGCTGTCGTAGTCCATCACTGCCTGGTTGGTGATCAACGAGAGGGCGAAGACGCGCATGCCGCAGTGACGTGCGACGATCACCTCGTGGGCTGTGCTCATGCCTGGCGAGGAAATTAAAACATCGGGATAAATATTAAAGATACCATAATAGATACAACAGAAATAATAACCTCCTGAACAATGAACACTGAAGGGATTCTAACAGGGAGAAGTTTCAGCTGGTCGCAAGTTTCATCACCTCACAATAATATATCGATTATTTGAACAACAATACAATATTTCCTGATATCTCAAAGTCTGGCACAATGCTTTTACATTTAAATTTGATTCATTTTAGGGTCCTGCGATTGATATGAGACAATTTCAATAAATATCTTTTTCTTGGCTACTTGTCATCATCTGCCTGGCGCGAGACTGCTAGCACTGTTTGAATGTTTGGGAAGGAGGTGTGCTTGGATGAAAATGGTGTCACTAACATGCTATGGGAATTTCAAAATAAATTTGTATCTCAAAGACGATGACATATATCAGTGTTCTCAATTTGCGTTGATAAGATCGGATCGTTGGTCATGGAATCGATACATCAATGAATCGTCACACCCCTAACTGCTAGATGCCACTAAATCCCCCGAATCTTACACACTGCGCCTTTAAGGGTCTGGTTTTCATATGTCATTGCTGTACCGAAACTGCAACTATGAAATATTCTGTATTTTTGGCTATGACGTCCATGAAACACTACTAACCGACAGCATCAGCGCCCAGTTTGTGCAGCATACGGCACTCAGCAATGGTCTCGAACGAAGGTCCTCCCAGCACGCAGTAGACGCCCTCCTTCAAGAAGTCTCCGAAGCCGAGCTCCTGTCCCACGTCCATGGCCATTTGCTGCAGCTCGCGATCATAGGCATCGGACATGCAGGGGAAACGCACACCAAACCTGTGAGAGGAAGGAGTTGAGAGATGGTTGGAAGGTTTAGTGTGTGTAGAGGCCAAAGGAGAACTAAGTATCTGCAAACATGTTAAATAAGCCTAGTTAGGGTGCAGGAAACACATCCTACCTCTCATCGTTGGGTCCAGACAGCGGATTGTTGCCAGCGAATCCGGGCATGTTGATGTGGTCTTTGATGATCATGACGTCTCCCACCTTATAGTCCTGATTGAGGCCTCCGGCTGCATTGGTCAGCATCACCGTCTCCACGCCGAGCAGCTTGAAGATGCGTATAGGCAGTGTAATCTGGAAGCACACACACACATACAGTACATAAGATATTATGTAACCACTCAGCAGGGACTTTGCTCTTTCAGCAGCATTCTTTAAAGGCCACACATTTTATGGCAATTTTCTCCTCAAGCGTTCGAACAGCGCACACACCTTCCAGATTGGGTAGCCCTCATACAAGTGGAAGCGCCCTTGCATGCAAACACATGGCCTCCCCTTTAAGGTGCCGAACACCAGCCGACCAGCATGTCCGTGCACTGCAGGAAGGAAACACAAACCAGTCAGTAAATATCAACAGCATATGGAAACCAGTCCAGACATTCTTTGTAGTTAAACTCGGAGGTGGGAGCAAGTCATTGTTTTGAAAGTCACAAGTAAGCCTCAAGTCTTTGCACTCAAGTCCGGAGTCAAGACTGACAAGTCCCAAGACCTATACGAGCAAGCCTCAGCAAGTCATTAGATCTCTTCAACACATGTAAGTCCAATTTTAAATTCACAAAAATCACGATTTTTAAAATGTTCGTTCATTTGTTAAGCAAGTTTGTTAAAAAGCTACTTAGCTGTTAAGCTAATGTTAGTTAAGCATTAGCTTGTTAACTATGTTAATATTCATCTCAACTTACTGTTCTTTGTGCAACCTTAAATGTGGAATTCGGGTCTACACATTGTGCATACTGCAGTTTGTTTTTATGTTAACGACTGTGTAGTTTTTGTACGTGAACAAAATTATTATCATTATTATTATTATATTTTTCCATCTGGGGCTCAGTAAAATAATGTTAGTTCTTAATTGTTCTCTCCTGCTACTTGATTGGATGTTGGTTCAAACTAGGGGACTGTTCGGTATTTATTAGGGGGGGGAGGTGGCGCATAAAGGGGAGGCATGTCAAATATTTTTTTAAGCACTAGGGAGGCACTTCTGTTTTTTATTTTGTCGTAGGGGAAGGGCATATAACAGATGCAGATGCAGATTTTAAAAGAAAACATGCCTTTCAAAACCGCCGCGGCAAGTTTCCTTTAAAGATCGATTGGATTTTTAAATTTTTAACAGTCCTTGGACACATTTTGTATGACAAATGCTTCTGTCAGAAAAAAACAACCAGATCTGAGCATAAAATAGTAATATTTCATCCAAATCACTATCAAACATAATAGGGTAAGTTTTAAAAATGTAATAACTAATTTATAGTAGAGGGAGGGTCATTTCTGCACTCAAGGAAAAATGTTTGTGGCTTCGGGGAGGCTCAAGAAAAAAATTAAGTAACACCACAGAGCCCCCCCCCCCCCCCCCCCCCCCCCCCCCCCCCCCCCCCCCCCCCCCCCCCCCACCCCCCTCCTCTAAATAAAGAACTGTCCCTAAATGGATCTGGGAAATTAAGTGTCAACTTGCTGGGAATTAATAGCTGATTCAGGTAATGAAGGGAAAGTTATTTGATTTGTGTTATACTTTTAAATAATTTACTTTAAAATCCTTGGACTTGGGGGAAGGTATCAACTATTTTAAGTCAAAAGGCTTGAGTCCAAGTGAAGTCACGAGTCATTGGTTAAGTTGCAAATCTTGATATTGTTAAGGCAAAACTAAAGTCATCAAATCTGAGACTTGAATCAGACTCGATTCCAAGTCATGTGACTCGAATCCAAGTCTCTGGTTAAACTCACCGGTGCTCTGTGGAAAGTTTGGGATGTCCTTGTAGTTAAAGGCAACCTGGTCCTTCAACATGTCAGCCAGCCCTCCGAGCCCCGAGCCGCACACGATGCCCACTGTGGGTCGCACATCAGTCTGGGCCAGCAGCCAATCAGCAGTGGCCTTGCATTCGTCATAGGTGTAGCTGGATGACATAAAAAAAAGGTCCAGGGTCAAGGTGACTGCAAAAACTTTTTTCAGACTCAACTCTCTTTGCCTCCTGATTCTTTAAGTATCACGTGATGTGGTCATTATAATCAGATTACAGGATGAGAGAGTTTTTCTGGGCAGCAGACCTGAACTGAGAACTGCTACTAATAAGGAGATGACTTGAAGGGACACACATATTCCTGTAGTATCACGCCTCATGCTCTTCAGTGGTGTCACACACACCTTTTTATTTGTCTGCTGAATTGAGAGATTACTCTCACCCATCCACTGTGATTTGTGTAATTCCTTTGATGTGACAAACTGCTGGTTTCACCCCCACCCAAGCATGGATTAATGGATATACATGGCTTTGCTCCTAAAGACTTTGCTATAGATAAAGAGTTCCTTTTCATTTTACTTTATTAACACCTAAAAAACATCATAAAGTTAAATAAAGTTGAAGTGAAAGTCGAGAATATTGATGTTACTAATTGTCTGATCAGTAAAAATGTGATATAAAGTGCAAAAGACACAGTTAAATTCCATCTCTGACTCCCTAAGGAATAACTGAATGGTTTTTCATTTAAGACTCGCCGCCCACAGAGCATGTGCGCATTTCTTTTGGCCCCAAGCCAAACATATTTTTTACCCACAGCCCTGACCTGCCCATGAAGGGGCCATGTGTTCAGCAGCATGGGAAGAGGAAAGCTGAAAGTACAGTCAGTTCAAATCAAAATTCATATCAAAAGTGTACTCACCCTTTGGTGGCCTCTGGAAACATTGCAGAAGTTTAAATAAGTGTTATGAGTTGGTAAAAAGAGGAAATGTGCACTTTTTAGCGCAGAAAATCAAGTTCCAGTGTTGAATCAGAGCCCAGCTGTTGAAATATAACTTATTACAGAAAAGCTGAGGGAGAAAAAAGTTTTAAAAATATAATCTCAAGTTTTTCAGGTGTTGAGTCCTGTGTAGGTCTTCTGTCTTGTGTGTGGAGAAGAGGCGCAGTCGCAGGGTTTATTATAGGCAAAGAGCCACCCACCACCCCTCCTTCTGCTCAAAGTGACGCATGTGTATGCAGCAGCCTCATTGGCTGAGTGGACACACCTTCATAATAGAGAAGAGGAAATATATGTGTATGTCCTGCTGGACAGCCCCCACCCCTTTCATCCCCCTCCTTCCCAGCAGCAGCAGCAGCAGCAGTGTCCACATAAACCTCTTTACATCCTGTTCTCCACATCATGGTAACAGGAAATGATTGCAACATCCCCTTAGCAATGATCAGCTTTTTGTTGATCAATACTGCAGGTATTCTCCCAGACATGATGTGCATTTTCAGCATGACTCAGGTATTGTTTTGAACATCACGTGTCTGATGTGTCCATGTGATTGTTGCCCCTTTTCTCGCCATCAGGAAGTGTTTACATGGAATATGTCTTCACATGACTTTTAACCTCCATATACCTGAGCCTGAGTACTATGCTGGAGCCTGCTGGGAATTGATAGTTGATTAAGGAAATGAAGGGAAATGAACTGTTTTGTGTTACACACATTTAAACCTTTGGACTTGAGGGAAGGTATCAAGTATTTTCCAATCAAATGGCTCATGTCCAAGTAAAGTCACGAGTCACTGGTGTTAAAGACGTGTTGCAAGTCTTTTGTGACTTTGTCAGGTTGGGACTTAAGTCATCAAATTTGTGACTCGAGTCAGACCCGATACTAAGACAACTCATGGTTGGTCCAAATGTACAGTGAATTTCTAGCACAGAGCTTTTATTTTGAAGTGTTGTTTCCTGCTGTGGAGTGAGTAAATAAAGGACAGCTACCTCACAGAGACAGCAAACTAGCTTGATGACAAACATAGGTATGACGTGGAGTACATTGAACTGTGTAGGCCTTGGACGAATGACCAAGGAGAAATCTGGACTCCATGGCAGGACCAGTTGCAGACCACTGCTGTAACTGAGCGTCAGAATTGTGTATTTGACAAAGTATATAATAAAATGTAAATTAAACTGTTTGGTCCTCTGAGAGTCCTTTGAGCAGTAGAAGTTATAGGTGTTTTCACCCACTTTGAATTCAGTAGAGGGAGCTTTTAAATGTGAAGTGCCTTGTTGAGGTCTGGCTTTCAACACTTTGATATGTGACTTTTCAAATAACATGAGCTCCAAAAGGAAAATCATCTGTGTGTTGAGCTGCAGATGCTTTGATTTCTTTAAAGGCAAAACTAAGGGATTAAAAAATGTTGACATATAACAAAAAGACTCACTAACAAGGATGTGGGTGGCTGGGTGGTGCAGTCGACATAGAGCCTACGCCGAAGCCTACGCTGTAGCCTGATGTGCACCTCCCCAGAAATATAACTACCTGTCGTGGTGACACAGACCTCCTGTCTAGTTTTGTAAGCTGAAACCATTTCCCTCAGTAGAAACAAAGCTTTTATTTACTTTAATTTCACCGACAAAAAAACAATAAATTGTGGAGACACTAAATCCTCCACAAAAATAGCATTTTAAGTCCTGTGTGTGATTTATCCTGACTTCATATGAGAAGAGGAAAAGTGTGCTAGCTGCAAGGCTAATTTATACAATGTAAAATGCCATTGGCTTGTGCTAATAACGTTAGCATGTAATATTTGTTTGGAAAATGAGTTTAGTATAAGACAGTTGTTTTGTCAGTGAACCCTGTGAGTTGTAATAGAGCCGAATTTTGTAATGTTAACTTTGTTAAATGTTGCTAAGTTGTTAGGACCCCAACAGGATGAGCGGTTACAGAAAATGAATGAATGAATGAATAACAAGAATGTGAAGGGATGCATACAGAATAGAAGGGATTGCTAAACGACACCGTCCATGACGTACCTTTGAAACGATTTTTCCAGTCCATTCATCAAGTGTTCAGGACATTTTGTCATTAGATTGCAACACATGACCATCATGTGTGTTTTTGTTATTGTTGCCAGTAAGACTGTACACTGACACACCTCTTTTGGAGCATGTGTGTGTTGTAAATGAGGCAGATTACAACCAGGAAGTCATAAATAAACACTTCATTCTTTTGATGGTCTCATTTATGGCCTCACATTGAACTCGTGGGATATTTTCCAATAGTACACACACAAACACACACACTCATAATCACGAGGAATGTCACCTGGACTCAATGTCCTGTAACTGATGGGCTGCAATAAATGTGAAACGGAACGAGACATTTAGTGGAGATGGACACACATTCAAGAAGCAAGCCAAGTGTGAAAGAAAACACATAAGTACCTTTGGTATTTTTGATTTGGGGGTGAACTGTCCCTTTAAAGACTTGCGTCAGTAAAAGAACATTAAGTACCACCAGCTAAGTGTAATCAATACTACCAGGACAAAGTATTCAGGACAGCTCTTTTATTTGGCTTTTATCAACCATGCTGTTATGCCCACTCTTGGGCAGCCCTGTAGGGCAAACAGAACTCCACCATTGATCCAAAATAACCACATAAACACCTTTAAAACAAATCCATGGGATTTATTACAAATAAAACAAGCAAACAAGACAACAACAATGCCAGGCTGAGAGGCAGCAGCACCAGCAGTCCCCACACCAGAGGCCTCTCTCCTCTGCTGCTGGCACAGGAGCTCGTTAGCACCTCCTCCATGCCAGGTGTGATGCACCTGGTTAGGCAATGGAGCACACCTGGAGGGAAAAGGGACAGCAGCACAGAACACATACAGCTGTACCACATGCTTTAGAGGAATAGTGTGGAAGATTTTTTTTTTTTGGGGGGGGGGGGTTATGCCTTGTTTCCACTTATGTATGTGTACAGAGACGAGGCAGTCCATTCATTTCTATGGGAATCTCCATGATATCTGATGTGCCTGCGAAACTTGGTAATATTTCGGTCTGGAATTTGCCTTGAGAATGTTAAAAAATGTAACTTTTGCAGTGGATTTCAGAGAGACCGTATGACAGTGTGCTAGCTAACTGACTAACAGATGATGTTCTTCAGTTCAGTTGCCCGTGTTACTGTCAGGTGAGTTTGTGTTATTAAAAAGAACTTGTTTATCTGGTTTTAACACATCGTGAATCTGAGTTATGTTATTCTGCTAAAATATGTTTATACATTATGTACAGTCAGATTGTCATTATGACTCGTTGACTCGTGGAGGGAGCTCGGAGTAGAGCCGCTGCTCCTTCACGTCGAAAGGGGTCAGTTGAGGTGGTTCAGGCACCTGATCAGGATGCCTCCTGGGCACCTCGAGTTAGAGGTATTCCGGGCATGTCCCACTGGTAGGAGGCCCCGGGGCAGACCCAGAACATGCTGAGGGGATCACATATCTCGTCTGGCCTGGGAACGCCTCGGTGTCCCCCAGGAAGAGCTGGAAAGCATTGCTGGGGAGAGGGACGTCTGGGGTGCTTTGCTCAGCCTGCAGCTGTTTACATACAGTCTCTTTCAAAATAAATGCATTACGTCAGTACAACATAATTTTTCCTTCAACAACATACGTACACGATTAGGTTTAGACAACAAAAACACGTGGTTAGGTTTAGGAAAAAAGAACAGGGTTTGGAATCTTACGGGACAGGAACACCACTCCCCTGGGTGAAAGTTATGGTTTGTTGGACCCATCCACCACCACTCCCACCCACCCTTCCAGGCCGCCTTAACTGTCATCCTTGCCCTGCTGCGTTTCCCCCTGATGCCGCCGTGCGCCATTAAAGTATAACAGCAACCGGCTGCGTATCATGCCGACATTAAAGGACGCCTTTTTCGTTGGTTTCTGATGCCACAATTCACTGCCCAAGCGCTGGATTTCAACGACTTCGTAGTGAGACCGGGCTCATTGAAGAAGCAGGTTAAGTTTTTACAAAGCTGATTTTTTTTTAGCAACAGAGCTCCACCCATATTGTCTGATTCAGATTCTTTTGTACTGAAGCTGCTGGTTGACAATATTTTGCGCAATGTTCAACGTCTTTAAATTCGACCAAAGTAAGTATTCATTGTTATTTCAGAGAGATGCATTCTGGTCAAAGTGAAAAAGCCTCTGCTGGAAAAGCAGCATTTTACATGAAGTATCTACTCACTGTTTAAATTGCTCCTGAAACCTCTCAGCCTTCACATGTGCATCAATATTAGGTGTGCAAAGTCATCTAGTTGGCCAGATTGACCCCTGAGCTGTATGTTTGACACCCCTGGGCAAGAGAACTTGTTTTTGTGTTTCTGGCCTAGTTCTGCATCATCGATCTACTGTATATCTCATGCATTTAAGGACACATGGCAGGTGTCCTCAGAAATATGACGGTGGCGGAGGTTACAGCTGATAACCACTTGGTGCACTGTCCTTTTCCTGTTTCCCTGTGTTAATCTGTCAATATATTTTAGTGTTATCTCTCTTTGTTTCTGACGTTTTCTTGTCTCTGTTGTTTATGGGCCACCCAACTCCCTGACGAGGAAGAGATAGGGAAACAATGTCAGCGCAGGACTCCCAGTCTGAACTTATGTGTGTACTGATAGAAGAGCTTCTCAGAAAATCATTTAGACGAAAATGCAAACTATTAGACCATTTAATGCTCATGTCAGTTACAGGACACCACAGACTGCGGGGTCACAAAAACTGCGAGCACAGGGTGTCAGACTTACGTAAGAAGAAAACTATTTAACAATGATTACATAACACCCCACCCCCCTTTTTGGGGGGGTTTATTTGTAAAAGAAATAGAGGAAAAAATGAAATGACACAATGATAATCAAGAATGGCATGTTCTCAAATGACCAACAGTGAAACATGTCTAGTGAAGAGCAAACTGTAATCATTAACAAGTAAGCCCATAATTTACCTTTGCCTTGGTTTACTTCTTTTGGATCACACAGGTAAACACAGACCCAAGAGGGTCCCACCAAGGGCTTATCAAACACCAGCCAAAACACGGGGAGAGCCTTCATCACAACACACAGCCTGACGTCGATGGACCTTGAGTTGTTTTTTTGGTGT